TCTGTCTTGGTGCCCATTATCCAGCCTCCCTCTGTCTCCCCTCCTGCACCTCCCAGATATCTGGCGAGCAGCACACTTTCTGTGTATTCTACAGTAAAACTGTTCTAGGGGTCTCCTGGTCAAGATGCAGCAGTGCCATGAGGCCAGGCTGCGTGTGTGCCTGAAGAGGAGTGCAGTTCTCCTTTCCACAGCCCTGCGTCCAGGAGGAGGGAGGGGCAGACAGAGCACTTCCGGTTTCAGTCACCGCACAGACTTGGCCCTCGTGCTTGGTGAGGAAATGCAGGGTTCCCTCTGAGCTGCGAGGCCCTGCTCTTATCTGGCACAAAGGGATGAAGAGACATCGAGGTTGACAGCCTGGAGCCAGCGTGGCTTCTGCTGGACTTCAGAAACGCTGACTTAGTTCTGCACGTGGTATTAGGGGCGCACATTCCTGAGGTCAACCGACACACCTGACAGACTTGTTTCATGGAAGAAAATTAGAGTTTGGTGTTGGCTGTCGTTTTGGTGAGTAATTAAGGGGTTTGGCCCTCATTCCCTATGCCCTGCAATAACACACCCGCCCAAATCACCACTTGGCAGTCTGCAGCTGAACTCAGACACGAAATAGTCAGTTTCATTTCGCTCACCAGGTAACAAGCGGCTTGGACGCCACTGTGGAGGGGTAATTGCAATTCAGCTACCATAGGCACTCTAGCTTAATTGCTGTACAAGATGACAGCAAGGAGGCCCAAATGGCGGGGTGCATCCTATACTTGCCCTTCCTTGGCTTGACAGAGGCGTGGGTGGTGTTGGGTTTGGTCCACCTGACTCCCAGGACTTTCCAGGAAATCTGCATTCATAGAGAAAGAAGAAGATAAGGAAGGACTATTGGCTGGCAGGGATGCTTTCGTAGTTGGCCCTCCAATTCCGTGAGTTTCATGTCTGTGGGTTCAACCAGCTGCAGATGGAAAATATTCAGGAAAAGACAGTATTTGTACTGAAGATATGCATGCTTTCTTCTTTATTCCTGCAACAGTGCAGTCTAACAACCCCTTTCATAGCATTTGCATTGTGTTAGGTATTGTAAGTAAGCCAGAGGTGACTTCAAGTATGCCAGAGGGTGCGAGTGAAGCTTGTACCGTGCCCTTGTGTGTAAGGAACTTGAGTACTAACAGGTTTTGGTCCCTGTGCAGGGGCCTGGCACAGATTGCCTGTGGGTACCCAGGTATGGCTGTGAGGTTGGAGATGGACAGAGCTCCACAGTGTTGCTGTGCTGGGACCTTCCCCATGGAGAGAATGCTTTCCCACCTGAGACCCGCAGAGATAGCTTTTGGAGTGGGGTGTGGGAGGAAAAAGCAGTGGCGTAGCAGTCAGGAAGTCTGCTCTGTCATTCATACCCATCAGCTCCCAGGAACCCAGAGTCAGCTCCTGAACCACTGAGCCCTGGTACAACGCCAGCCTTCATCCTGGCACGTTCAGACTGCCTTCTCTCCAGCCATTCCTGGCTTGAACACCTTCTTTGCCCTCCTGATTCATGGTATTAGAACTCGTTAGTACCAAAGCATGGAAAACACAGCTCAAATTCACGCGTTCACTTAGCTGATCTAGTAACTGATGTGGTTTTAGGCACGGGTGGATGTGTGGAATCTGATGATGGCATCAGGACTCAGTTCCTCAGAACTCTGTCAGTTCTGCTTGCCCTAGTGTGACTCCATTTTCTTTCCTCCTGTTGGCGATATGGCTGCCAGAAGTAACCAGCTTACATCCTCAGAGCTCCAGCTGCACCAGAACAGAGTAGCTCTGTCTCAGCAATCTCAACAGGGTGTTTTACCGGCTTTGGAAGAACCGTATGAGGCTCCTGGTTTGGGACATACCCCTCCACCACCCCCACTCCATCCCTTCCCCCAGCTCTGTAGCACTTGAATGACGATGGGCAAGCATTGACCAAGTGGGGGCTGTTGCAAGCAGAGGGGATGGATGGATATTGATGGCACAGCTGCAGATGCCCGTTCTGCCTCATCTCCCACGTTGTGGCCCGAGGGCTCCTCCACAGCAGGAATTTCACGAGATGACTGGTGTGAATTCTGGCAAGAAGTGTCTTGCAAGAAGCTAAAATTAGCTAGTGTTTGTCAGAAAGTTTTACTTATTTATTTTTAAAAGAGTGGATTCAGGATTATCCTTATGGTGCTTGTCAGTTGTGGCTAGATGGACATTTATGATTCTATTGTTTCTGTGTTTTGTAAAACTGAACATTGCCATGACAAAGGTAGCCCTCAGAGTATGTCAGTTTTGCTCATTTGGGAGGTCAGGGCTGGTGCGTTCAGGCTGCTTGGAGGATCCGGGGAGGAGGATCCCAGCCACATGTGACAGCTTGGCTGAGCCTTGCAGGGTGAGGGGGGTGACTGGCCGAGGGGGTGCCTTTTGGATGTGAGTGGGAAGGGGCTGGTGAAGTGCAGAGTGATCCCCAAGCACTGTAAGTGTCCCCTGCAGGGCTGTTTCTCACACGCAAACCTGTTCCCTCTCTAGGCTTCTTTCCAATTCTGGTGCGCCTTGTCTTCCTACTCACTCTGTTAAGTCATCCTCAGTTCAGTCTGTTAAGAACCATGAGAGCAAAAAGAAGAAAAAAGGAAATTTTGACTTTTACAGTTCAGAAGGCAGAGTCTGGGGGGAGCAGAAAGGAGGTGGAGTTACCAAGCCTTCTCCAGCACTCGACTTGCCAAGAGATCGCCCAGGTTGGGGAAGGACGAGAGCCAAAAATCTGTCAGAGAAAACTCCATTGAGGGGGAGGGGCACAATGACAGATGTGCCTCGAAACCACGGGCCGTGACCCAGCAGCCACTGCGGCCAGTGCGTGAAGTCCTTGCCAGTTCATCTGGCGGGGGCTCCACGTGTGTCTTCTGGTTCATGACACACGCGAGATGTAGGGAGATGTTTGCCACGAGATGCTTTTACGTGGAGTGAGTGATGACCACCCCTCAGTGTTGACATACTTAGGTGCCTGTTTGCATATATTTGTGTGAGTGTGGACAAAAGTATGAAGGTACACAATTCCTCCCAGCAGAAAGAGGTGAAGAGGTGGGAAAGAGGTGTTTTTTTTTTTTAGATGTGTTCAATAGAAAAGTGTGTGTAATAACTCCACTCACGTGACCTTACGTAGATAGGTACATGTGCATATACTGCTTTGCCACCATGTCTCTGCTCTGAGAATTTAGCATCCGGCCCCAAGCTAGGTCGGATGCACAAGGCGGGCTTTGCTCTACGGCTTTGAGTTTGCAGGGTTTGGAGGCTGTAGAAGCTGCCTTGATGCCCTGACTGAGCTGGGAGCCAAGCTTCCTTCACTCCTCTGTCCAACCTGGGCTTCCTCATGAGTAGAGATGAGGTAGCGGGAGCCTAGGGGAGTATCTGCCGTGGGGCAGCCCTTCACAGAGTCTTGGGTAAATGCATGAATGAGTGAGGTAATGAGTGAAGAAGTGAGCAAGTAAAGAGGTGAGACGATGGATGAACGAATAAATTTGTTCCTCAGAAGGAGCCCTGACAGGGTTGTTAATTACTCCTCCAGGCAAGGGTGGCTTTGCGTTGAGCCACCCATCATCCTCTCCCAGTGCCTTCCTGGACAAAGACCCACTGAGTACAGTTACCTCTTGGCTGCAGGCATGGAAGGGAGAAAAACTAACTGGCTCCCATCTCCTCCTCATCAAACGTTTGCCAAGCACCTGTCCCATGCAAGGCATTAACTAGGGACCGTGGGAGATGAGAGGTGCATGTTGTAGCCTTCCCTGCAGGAACACTGGGAAACGCAGCTGGAGGAGTCACCGTCAGAGGCCGGGAAGGACTCCACAGAGAGTGGAAGCACAAGCAAAGCAGTGAGGAGCATGAGCTTGAAGCCAGATCCCTGCCTGCCTTGGATCCCGTCCCCCCCCAATCTCCAACCTCGGACAAACCAAGGGAATAATGGTAGCAACCACCTCCCGGTCGTGTGCTGAGGATTAAATGGGCAAATACAAGTGAAGAACTCAGAACAGTCGCCTTCACATCCGCATCCACCTTAGGTGTGACCTGTGTGAGAGAAGGACTCTCATCAGGGCAGGGTGGCACAGTGTGGAGAGAGGTGGGGGTGTGAGGCGGGGGTTGAGCCAGCCTGGTTCAAAACCCGATTCTCTCATTTCCTACCTATGTGACCTTCACGTAAACTCTCCTAAACTCTCCAAAGCTCGGCTTCCTCACTTACAAAATGGTAATAACCACACCAATTTCATTGAGAACATGTGTTCGCCATGGCATGATAAATAGCAGTTATTATTGAAGAAGAGCACAGTAGAAAGGATCCCAGAGGAAGGTGAATAAATTAAGCAGGATGACACGTCTGTCTTCTCCCCCATTTTCTCTTGGAGGCCTCATCATTACCGGTTTGCATTTCTATTTTAATCATGTTGTAGGTTTACAGTATTTTTTCCCCCTGCATCTTTATATGCTATAATTTGGGTACTATTTTTACACAATGAGACCATTTTTAACCGAGAACAGATTCAATTGTCTTTCAGCATATATCATTGTTTATCTTAATTAATGCTAAAATATTCTTAGGGGGAAAAACACATCCCACAGAGTATTATGCAAGGAAACTTAGCATTCATTTTTGCCTCCCTCTTGTCTGGCATATCGGTTTATAAAGGTTTTAGCATCCTGTTATTTCAATGACAATACGCACACTCTTAAATGCAGACACACATCAGTGGGAATTAAATCGCAAGGTGTCAACAGCAGGTCGTGGATTAGCACCAGCAAAGTATGTGTTGGAGGCTGGAGGATTGACAGCTGAAAGGCGACAGGAACTGTGCTGTGAGGATGCAGTTGGCTGAAGTCAAGGGCTTCTGCTTTGATTGATCCGTGAAGCATTTCTTGAGTTGGGCTAAGCCTGTCTAGGCTCTGGGCTGGGAGTGTTCCATAATAAGGCTCTTAGGTTGCTCAGCCTGGGGTGGACACCTTTGTTGTTGATCAGCATCTATTTTTCTTCCTTCCAGTCAGATGCCGCATGTGCCCCAGGTGCCCTGAGCATGGATGGACAGGTAAGAGAGCTGACCAGTCACCATACACTATCTCCCTGGCTGTAGTGGTTGGGCAAGGGATGACCCTGCGACACACAGAGCCAGCGACACTGGATTGGGGGACTTCAGATAGAAACACTGGGAGAGGGGTTCTCATTCGGCTGGGATTCCAATCAGGGAGAAATATTGCTGGGAGCTGCCACTGTTCATCTTTGCGGGTGAAGAGGGGAGCGTTACCCTGAGTGAAAACATGAAAGCAAGCAAGGCTGAGAGATGGAGGCAGGTTCTTGGTGACATCCCCTGGATGCTGAATCTCTGCTTGTTTAATGTCCGTCTGCCCTCCGGAGAGTTGATGATTCAATGTGATCCAGTAAGTCCTCTCCCTCTCTGGCGTCTCCCCCAACCTCCATCCATGTTCAAGGTTGATTGGGTTGGGTTTCTGTCACTTATATCCAGAAGAGTTCTGGGGAGTGGAGCGTTTCCACAGGCAGTTGTGAGAAGCCAGGACCCTCTGCTGAGTAGAGGGAACAACTTGATTTTGACCACGTGTGCGGGAACGTGCACCTAACGGCATCTCTCACCCCAGACTTGCTTGTTCTGCCAATACTGACGAATGGTTTGGCCTCTGGAAATTCCCGAGTGGTCTTTAAGTCACATGGTCTGGAGGAGCTCCCAAGAGGCTGGACGATGTAAACCCTGAAGCCTCACTAGGTCATGCAAGAACCCTAAAGGAGCTGATAGGAAGGCTGCACGTCAGACATGTTAAGCCTAGGATCGAGGGAACTGACCCAGGATGATCTAGTTGGTTAGCCAGGGTGAGGGGAGGACGCTGTGACAACTGTCCATAGGAGGTAATTATCTCTTGTTGAAAATTTCTCACAACTCAAATACGGTCCTAAATGCGTTCCATACACTGCTATGTTTAATCTTCTCAGCAGTCCTGTGAGTAATGGAGCTTTTACAGGTCAGGGAACTGGGGCTTAGTGAGGTGGAGTGACTTGGTCAATCACAGGTAGGATTTAAACTCGGTTTGTCTGCCTCTGATTTGATAGAGGACTTGGGTCCATGACTAGGGAGTGTGAGAGAGGGGACAGTGTTCAGCCTCCCAAGGTAATAAGGGAGCCGAGGCTAAACTTTTGGTCACAGATTCAGCCTCACAGGGGCAGACCCTGACAGCACTGGGAGAGCGGAGTGAACAGGGAACAGGCCAGGGCTTGTGCAGCAGCACCGCACGGCGGGGTTGGGAGGGTGCCACAGTGGGTCTGCCTGTATCTGGGGCTTGTGGCAGAGGATAGACACAGGACTCCAAAGTTAATTCAGGCCTAATCCCAGAGTTGGAGCAGAGCTGGCTCAGGGATGGGAAAGTAAGGAGAGAGAGAGATGGATAGAGGACTCCTGTGGAGCCTTGAGGCTAAAAAGAAAAAGAAAGATTCCTTTATTCATTAAAACAACTATTATAATAAACTAGTACATGATCCCCACTGGACTAGGGTCTTCCTCACACATTGATCTGAGGCCCAGAGAGGCCAAGTGAGCCATCCAAGGTCACACAGGAGCTGAACTGTGGTTAAAAGCTAGGTCCACCGAAACGTGACGATATTCCCACAGGTGTCTCCTGGAGAATTCAAGTAATAAACTGATCATTAGCTCTGAAGGAGGAGTCTTAGGGGCAGTTCACATGTGCAGATAATGACTGTGCCTTGTGGTGTGCTGACAACCTGGACGCTACCTTCAAAACAACCCTGTGGCATTTAGCCAGGCGTCACCGTCACCATTACCATCATTGTCGTCATGGCTGCTATCTGTTGTACTAACTTTTAGTGAATACAGTGTCTGCATGTGAACCCAGGCATCTCCAACTTTCAGACATGCCTGAGTTGTTAAGCAAGACACCTCTACCTCCGACTGCGCCTCAGTTGGCTATTGTCAGAACAAAATGAAGTAGTACAGGCAGAGGGCTCAGAGGGGTGCTTGGCACGCAAAGCTCAGTCAGCGTTGGCTTTCATCATGGCCATTTCCATCTTTGCATCACCGTCTCTCTTTTTTGTGGCTAACCCACCATGCTCGAGTGTGCTAGGAAATGCAAGGGCGCTTGCAACGTGCAGAGCCTCTAGGGGTAATCCTGAGGCAAGAGATAAAAGCGGCTCACTTGACATAACTTCATAAACCCATTTTAATCCCGACGTTGATTTTCTGTTAGAATGATCCCTTTCGTGTTTGCATACACAGTTCCTGCATGCCTCTAATACAGACGTATCAATACCATGATTGAGATAAAACAGTTACCTCCTCTGTATTCTCTTTATGCATCAGTCACCCTGGCCTCTTTTTTTTGTCTTTTTTCATCCTCTGCTACACAGTAGCATTCACGGGAGTGCCTCCTTATTCCCTCACCAGCCATAACTCAAGGTGGAGGTTTCAAATAATGACAAGTAGTAAAATAGGAGAGATTTAAGCAAATTCAACTGGAAATAATACAGAGAAATATTACTCACCCTGGACACGTGCCTCTCTTTTGATCTCCCTTGTCCAGGATGCACTTTTTTTTTTTTTTTTAAAGAAATGCTCCTTTCATAGAAAGAAGCAAGCAGACACTAAAAGGAAACCTCATGTCTTTGTTGAGAAATAATTAGTCTGATGGACAAAGGAGCGTAGAAAGAAATTCGTTTGTTTCCTAAGCCCCTTTAGGCAGCACGTCTTTCTTAGGTTTGGGCTTGTAGATGAGAGTTTGGGAAATGGAAAATTTTCTTGAATAAGAATTCAGGAAGTTTGACCTATGCAGTTACCTCTCTCTTAACTTGACAACAATTGGCAATTACTTTTTGATCCGAAGCGTGAGGATGAATATGGAAAGGGAGTGTGAATCATTCTCCTTCGGAAACGCTTTCCTCTCTCCTGTGCTGCACCTGAAGCGGATTTGCCTTTTTTTTTTTTTCCAGTCCCAAAGATTCAATATAATGTAGACTTGGAAATACCTGTGTTTGCTGCAGCTGGGGGCGAAAACAGTTGGCAAATCGATGAATCAGTTTCTTTTCTTTTCCTCTTATGGAAGCTTCCAAGACCTTGACAGTGCTTTGCAATGGGGTGCATTGGCTCCTAGTGTCGGCACATGGCACCCACATGTGGCTTAAGACTCTCAGACCCCAGTGGCTCTGGTGAAGATGGAGCACTACGCTGCAAGCAGGATCATGGTTGTCTATAGGTGACTGGGAAAGCGTGGGGCTCTGAAGTCCGTCTCACCAGGATTAAGATCCTGCCTCCTCTGGGATCTGGAGCTGATGGCTGGATTCCTGCCACATTGAGCATCCTCACTGTAGAATGGGAATGAGTAGCTCCCTTGCAGAGCAGTGTGTCCTCAGCCTTGGAGCTGTTGACATGTTGAGCCTGGCCATTCTTCGCTGCAGGGGGCTGTTCTGTGCATTGTAGGGTGCTTAGCATTACTCTTGGCCTCTGATCACATTGTGATGACCAAAATAATCCCCAGACATTGCCAAATATCTCATGGAAAGTACAACCTCTCTCTTCTTTATTGATAGCTACCAGCATGGAGTGACTGTGAAGCAATCCTGATAAAGCTCTCAGACACTGCCTTGCAGACAACACATAGCAGATGCTCAGTCAGCACCAGTTGTTACTGTGCTAATAAACAGAAACCCAATATCATGATTTTCCTCTTGAGGAATCTTACAGGCTCTCTGGATCTCTGAGGTCCCAGATTCCAACTGTGCTGACAAGATATTCTGCTTTCTAGCAAAACCACCAGTCTCTAGGAACAAGCAAATCGATATTCAGGTGGTTCTATGAATGAGTGGCCTCCTCTCACCTTGGTCTGAGAGCTGTAGGCAGGAATTTTAGAAAAGGGTCATGAGAGAAGACAGATGGCACATCACTGACATTTTAGGTTATCACAAGTCAAAGTATCCCCATGCCTTGGCATCCACTAGAAGTTACTGCACCTGGTCTTCATGGATTGGAGCTCTTGGTGCATCTTGGAGGGGAACAGGAATAATGATCTGCGTTGCGGGAGGAACCTACCCGACTGGCTTTGTTCTTCTATATCTTAGTTCTAGCTATTTCTACCAATTGATGGACTGCTCAAGATGGTTCTGTTGTTTGATCACTGTCATGGACTACATTGCAACTCACCAAAATTCACATGTTGAAGCCCTAACCCGCAGTGTGACTGTGTTTGGGGATGGAGCCCTTGGGTTATAGGGGTGGTGCCTTATAATCTGACCGAGCTGATGTCCTTATAAGAAGAGAAAGAGAAAGCAGAACTCCCCCCACCCCCTGCACCCAGGAAAGGCCTGTTGAGGATAGAGCAAGAAGACAGCCATGGAGGCCAGGAAGAGAGGTCTCACCAGAAATCAAAATTTCTCACATCTTGGTCTTGGACTTGTAGCCTCCAAAAACGGGAGAAAATAAACCATCCACTGTTGAAGCTGCCCAGTCTGTTGTAGTGGTTTGAGCTGACTTGCACAAGTGCTGACCCAGGTGTGTGGCATACTCCTTTTGTGCTCACAACAGCCTTTTGAGATATGTTCTGTCCTGCGCTCCCCAACATGCTATAGAAGAGAAATAGAGTATTTCCACACTTGTCCAGTGCCACACAACTACAAAATGGAGCCCAGGCCTGTCAGTTTCCGAAGCCCAGGTCCTTAACTGCTAAGCCATCTTAATATGGGTTGTGTCAACCCCCACAGTGCCATTTATAGAATGTTGACATAGTGCAAGCCTCTATGTCCGGGATTTCAATGCATCAGTTATTTAATCATGCCGCACTCCTACACAAAGGTCACAATGGTCCCCATTTTTGCAGATGAGGAAACTGAGGGAGGCTCTGTTAACTCGAAAGGCTGCAGCTTAACTGGCTCTGCAGGAATCTCTAACTAGCTCAGTCTCTGCTTTGGAATCGCAGGGCGGGTAATGCCTGCTGGGATATAATGAGCTGATATTTGCTCTTTAGAGGCCACAGATTGTTGTTGAATTTTTGCAGTCTCTACAGTTTTAATCCCACTAAGGATTCTAGCGGCGAGTGGGAGTGAAGGTCTCAGAAGGAGTTGAGTGCACTCAACTGCAGGTCAGTCCAGCTGGCTTCTCAGGGTTCTGCATTTATGCAAATTGGAGGGAGAGGTCTCAGCCCGAGGAAGGGGGAGTGCACACCTCTCTCCACACTGGCAGTCCTCTCCGAGGTAGTCTCTCCAGCTCAGGGCTTAGCAACAAATTGCATCTCCCTCCTTTATTTCTTCCCAAGGACAAAGAATAATAATTCAAAGCAGAGAAAAGAACTTACACTCATACACTGCGAATTTCCAAAATGTTTTGAGTTCACCTTAAAATCACCAGGGGGAAACAGGTGTTTTCTGACAGATGAAGTCAAGACACAGAAGTCAGGGCTGTTGATCTCACACGCACTGTGTCCTCCCCACGTGGTACCATTTGGGTGCTGCTTATGCTGTAGCTACTTAGTATCCTGTCATGGTTAAGGGCAGCAGCTTTGGAGACAGGCAGACCTAGGTGTGAATCCTACCGGTGACACCAGCCATCTTGGACACACTGCCTGGTTTAAATAAAGATGGGGATAATAACGGTCTTCTGGGGTCAGCTACATTAAACTGAAGGCTATCTATGGAAAGCATGTGGTAGGTGCCCAGTGGTTGTTTTCACTGTCCTTAATGGATGAGAACATTCTAGAATGTGGCCTAAGCACCACCTATCATGACCTGTGAACATCTCCAGGTAAAAGCATCCTCTGAGGGACCTTGGAGGTCACTCCTATTTTGACTGGGAGCTCCCTTGGGTGGGGAAGATGGCATAGTCTGGACTCAGGTGGTATTTAACAAGTGACCATCCAGCTTTGGGCCAAGAAGTCTAATGACCAAGAGTTAACAGAGTTTTTTGTTTCTGAATCCCAGCCTTGAAGTCAGACTCACGTGCCAGCTAGCTGGTCTGTACAATGGTGGGCAAATGTCCCATTAGATTCTTGTGAGTGCTTAGTGGACTAAGGCATGCAATATGCTTAGAATGCTTGGTGAGCTGCAGACGGATGGAGCTCACTTGGTATTCCCACAAGCCCCTCTCTATTTCCTCCTCAGTAGAGGTGGCTGTTAGAAGCCCTGAAACTTGGTGAGGTTTCCTTTATCTTCCTCCTTCTCTGTCCTATTGGGATATGAGTAACATAAAACAGTCGATTTTCCTGAAATGGCCTGTGATGGTTCCTCTGCTCATCCTGGTCGTGTCAATACTCATTTTGCCTTCATGGAGAGGAATTTTTTATCTAAGGACCCCTTTTCCACAATCACAGCTCTAACAGGAATACATTTAGAATTTTTTTCTTTTGAACCATTTCATGAAATCTAAGCACCTAGACTTCCCCCAGGCGCAGTGATGCACATGGTATAAGCATGGAATATGGTGTCAGAAACCCTTGTCTCTCGGCCAGAATTTGCCTCTGACTGTGATAAGTTGGGAGAGGATGTCCCTCCCCACTTCAGGACTCCAGTTTCACCGTTTCTAATGGAGCTGAAAGCCAAGCAATGTCTAAAAGTCCATCCTAATTAGGCTGTTCTGTGTTTTTGTCACTCCCTTGATAACCAGAGCTCAAGTTGATCAATCCTAAGTCCTAAGATGATGAAGCACTTACACCAAAGCTTATGTTTGTTCCTTTTCCCTGTCTGTACCAGACCAGTTTTCTGCTTTTGATCAGGAAGATTTGTGATAAGTAGTTGTCTATTCTTGGCAAATCTCACTTCTCCCGTGTTTTAACAGTATCCCTCCCAGTGGAGTCTGGTGATTAAGAGTGGGGTTCGAAGTTCAAATCCTATTCCTGTTCTTTACTAGCTATGAAATGGAAACCTGTTCCTCTTCCACATTCATTCTACAAATACTAGAGATGAATTTGGTGCTATGGATCCAAGGATGAGCAGGACAGACACTATTCCTGCCTTCTAAGATGTAATCTAGTGGCAAAGACAGCACCAAAAAGGTGGCACCCATGTGAGGAAGACCCACTGTTAGGAGATCTTCTAGCAGATACTCCTAACGCATAGACTGTGCAGAGAGAGGTCAAAAGCAAAGACCGAACGTGAGAGACACGAAGGGATTCATGCGCTAGACAGAGAAGTCGGGGGCTGGAGACAGGAGGGTATCGAAGGCTTCAACATAAACTCAGAAAAGTTCATGAGGAAGAAAGCAAAATATGGAGTGGGCAGTAGAGAGGGGAACAGTGTGGGAGTGGAGAGAGAGTGAGCGAGCGAGCGCCAGGTCATGAAAAGGATTTGTAAACTGTATTAAGGAGAATCAACCTTAATCCCCAAAGCAATAGGAGCCCCTCAGACAATTTTAAGAAGAGAATTACATGATCAAGTTTTTATTTTGGAAAAATTGGCTGCATTGTGGAGAATGGTTAGTGTTGGAGGATGAAGGAGGGAGAGCCAGTTGGAGGATATAACAGTAATCTAGGCAAGAGACTGACAGAAAGATGGCTGCTTGAGTGCTAGGATCTTTGTCAGTTTTGTTTCTATGAGAGAGAGTCAAACTATTCAAGGACAATGCATATTATGACAAAACTATGCATGCATTTCATTTTTTTTTGCACTGATAAGTATCTTTTGTTAAAAGATTTATTTTATTTGAAAGGCAGAGTGACAGGGAGAAAAAGAGAAAGTGATCTTCTGTCCACTGGTTCACTCCACAAATGGCTGAGCTGGTTGGGACTGGACCAGGCTGAAGCCAGGTCTCCCCAGTGGGTACAGGGGCCCAAGCACATGGGTCATCATCTGCTGCCTTCCCAGGTGCTTTAGCAGGGAGCTGGATTGGAAGAGGAGCAGCCGGGACTTGAACTGGATCTCTGATAGGGGATGCCGGTGTCTGGCTACAGCTTAACCCACTGGGCCACAAGGCTGGCCTCATGTTCTTTTACTCCCATTTTCCATGGAGTGCTTGTGTCCTTTCATGTGTGTCCCAGGTCCTTGGGCACAGAGCTTCTTGTCTGCCAGTCGGTAACTGCTTGTTGCGTGTTAGCGATTGAGACCCAGCCCAGTGGCTAGGGGGCACGGAGAGAACATGTGGATTCAGACCTAATTTGTAAGCCAAAGGGAAAAAGTGTACAACTGATTAGATGGGAATTGAGAATGATTCTGCATTCTGACTTGGGTAATTGAGGGAAAAGGATGACATTCTCTGAGATGAGCCTCGGTTTTCTCATCTGTAAAATGGGACCAATATCCCACCTCTCATATATGGAAAGAGAGTGGCCCAAGGCCTGGTTCATAGAGTATTCAGTGTGTCAATGAGTCCCTCGTCTCAGATCTCACCTCTACGGAGTGCAAGGTCCCCTCCGTAGGTTATGAACAAACAGCACACATACACATTTCCCCAAGTCTCCGGATTTGAAATCCTCAGAGACAGTAATGGCAGCAGCAGCAGCAAGAGCAGCAAGAGCGAGCAATGTGCAGCCAGGAAATGAAACAAGCTGCCGAGATTGCTAATTGGAGTTTGCTTTCCAAGGATGAACTGCGAATCTCGGGGAGGCTCAGTCACCTGCAAACCTGGTCCTTAATGAGCTGCTCTGCTCTTTGTCAACAGGATGGGTGGGTGACAAGGATTTCTGTAGCTAAGAAGCAGCTGGGGTGGTGGGGTGGGAAGGAGTAATTTAGAAGAAGGAAAGTGTTTGTGAAACCCATCATCCCTCCTGCCATTTGGCTACTTAGCGTCATTTCTGCAGCCCCGTTTTGAGAGGAGGAGAAATTGCACCTGGACCTGGGGCTGCAGATTCTTGGAGAAGACAGATGCTGGTGTGAGACAGCCCCGTGGCCCCACAGAGCTGCCGTGTCCACTCCTGTCTGCTCAGTAGTGCGACCTGAGCTGCAGCGCTCTGCCGTGCTCTGTGCTGTCCAGCGCTAGGCTTGCGAGAGGACAGAGACACAGGGAAAGCAGCCAGCAAATAGGTCATTACCATGCCACAGGATGGGTTCATGAGGGTACTTCAGAAAATTCATGGAAAAAGTTGTTTGTGGGGCCGGTGCTGTGGTGTAGTGGGTAAAGCTTCCGCCTGTAGTGCCGGCATCTCATATGGACACTGGTTCAAGTCCCGGCTGCTTCTGTTCCGACCCCCCTTCCTGCTATGGTCTGGGAAAGCAGTGGGAGGTGGCCCAAATGCTTGGGCTCCTGCACCCACGTGGGAGACCTGGAAGAAGCTCCTGGCTTTGGATTGGCCCAGTCCGGCCGTTGCAGCCATTTGGGGAGTGAACCAGCAGATGGAAGACCTTTATCTTTGTCTCTCACTCTCTGTATCTCTACCTCTCAAAAAAAATTGTTTATTTTTGTGCAGAAACATTTTGAAATCTGTTTTTGTCACAATGTACATTTTTGTGAACTTTTAGAAAATCCTCATAGACGTGGATTTCAAAGTATTTTGCATGAAGCTAAATTTATCTTTTCATTCTGTTCTTCCATGAACTTAAGTAACCTCTGATTTAAACAGGGGCAAAAACAAATTAGACTGGGTTGTTGACAACTAATGAGCCCTCACGGTAACCCAGCTTCAAAAGGCGGTTTTTCTCTCTCTTCGCTGGGAGGCAGAGGGAAAGCTGATCTTGAAGGTGTGCTTATTTTTGGCAGTCCTCGGGAGTATACTGCTTTCTAATGATGGAGGGTTTTTTCTTCTCAGTTAAGATTCTTAAGCAGCTTTATTGATATATAATTCATGTGCCATACAGCTCACCCAGGTAAGCATACATTGCAATAATTTCCAGCACTTCCAGAGTTGTGCAGCCTTTCCTCTGTGCCCCCAGCCCACCCCCAGTAGCAGTCTCTCCCCATTTTCTTCCAGCACCCCTTTGCCCCCAAGACAGCCACTGGTGAGCTTTGCATCTTTATGGATTTGCCTGATCTGGATATGTCATAGAAACGGAAGCAAAGAGCTGTGGCATTGTCCCTGGCTTCTCTTCTCCTCCCATAATGTTCTCAAGGTTCATCCACATTGTAACATGTAACACAAAATGATGTTGTTTTTTTAAATGGCCAGATACTGTTCCTGGGGGTGGATTTTAAAATATTGACATCTCCTTGTCAATAGCGTTTTCACCCAGGTTGAGCATCTGTCTTGCCTCAAGAACCAGAGTCTTTGCTGCCAGATTGGAGTGTCAGATGCACTGTGAATAGTTAAGGACACAATTCAGGGACCGAGCGCCTGGTCCAGCCTCATCCCTGTCCCTGTTCTGTGTCATTCCATGACATTCTCAACACACAAGAGACCGCTGGACTCTGTCCTACTGACCTCTGCTTCCTCTCTGAACACTCAGTGAAGTCTCCAGTTCTAACCTCAAGCACCTGCTTTCCTGGGCCTTCTCCACCCTAAAAAATAAATGTCCTTCAGGGCGGGAGTTGTGGCACAGTGGGTTAGACAGCTGGCTAGGATGCCCACATCCCATAAGGGCACTAGTTTGAGCCCCAGCTGTTCCATTTCCAACCCAGTTCTCTGCTAATGTGCCTGGGAAAGTAGCAGAAGATAGCCCAAGTGCTTGGGTCCCTGCACCTATGTGGGGGACCGAGATGGAGTTCCAGGCTCCTGTTAGGCCTGGCCCAGCCTTGGCCATTGCAGCCATTTGAGGAGTAAACCAGCAGATGGAAGATCAATCAATCAATCAATCAATCTCTCTCTGTCTCTGTCTCTGAAACTGTGCTTTTCAGATAAATAAATACATTGTTCTTCAAAAGGAAAAACTCCTCTCTCCCGCTCCCTCCTTTCCTTCCTTTGAAAGGCGCATGTGTGTGCACACACACACACACACACACACACAACACAGAACTCTCATCCACTGGTTTACACCCCAGATGTCTGCGTGGAACAACTGGGACTGAGCTGTGG